CAGCCCCCCGGCCCCCCCCCCCCAAGCCCCACCCAGCCACTCACCGTCCAGAGGCTCATCTGGCTTCCGCCGCTTCTCGTAGATGAAGATGATGGTGACCAGCACCAGCACCTCGGCCACGATGCCCAGGAAGGGCCAGAGTGCGGCCAGGTGGCTACGCACACGCAAGGTGATGGTGGCGTGGCCGGTGCCCTCCGAACTGGTGCTGTTGCAGGCATAGGTGCCAGGGTCAAGGGTCATGTCCAGGTCCTTGATGTGCAGCTCCGACCTGGTCTCCGAGGAGCTCACAGAGAACTTGCTCTGGGAGCCATTGGTGATGACCTGACAGGGGCTTCATCAGCACCTGGGGAGGGACAGGCTGTGGCCCCAGCCTCACCCCTCCCTGGACTGTGTCCCCAGCTGCGGGCCTCACCTGGTACCCGGAGTCAGACATCTTGTACCAGATCCAGGAGCTGACAGGAGGGTAGGAGTCGGACTTGCAGACCAGTGTGATGGTCTCCCCCTCACTGGCGTGCTCGGACTTCTTGGCAGCCTTGACTATGGGGGGGCCTGGGACTGGAGTAGGACAGACCTAACGTCGGCAGAGCTGCTCCCCTCATGCTGCTGCCGCACACGAGGAGCAGGCTCCTGGGTCCCCTACCCCTGGGCCACAGCACTTACCCAGCATGTTGATTGTGGTACTGCCCAGAGGCTTGGGCAGGAAGACACATTCGTATTTGCCCGCGCTGTCCTCCTTGTTCACCCTGCAATGGGTCGGGGGCTGTGAGCCCGGGGCTCCCGGAGGGGACACAGCCTGGGTTTTACTGCAAGAGGGCCAGACCATCCTGCAGATGGAGGGGCCCTGTCCTAGTGAACGAGCCGCCCCCTCCGCCTGCTGGGCCCTGCGCTCCCCTTGGGGGCTCCAGCCCCAATTGAGGTGTCCACCTTCCGCTCTTCCGTGACAGCACACTGAGCCGCAAGGACCCCCATCAGCCCCAAGACTCCCTGGGGCCCTGGCCACGCCTGCTGCCACCCCACTCACTGGTACTCGGTGTGCAGGTCGGGCAGCTGGTCCTCCTTCAGCACCTTGCCGTCCCTCAGCCACTGGTGCCCAGTGACAGTGACGTCGCTGCGGTTCATGAGGCAGGTCAGGTGCACCTGGGAGCCAACGTCGCTCACAGTGGCTTGGATGTCATCCTCTGGGAACCACAGCAAGACAAGATCAGCACAGGATGAGAAGGCCTCACCCTGCAGATTGCCCAGCCCTCCCCCGAGATGGGACGAACAGGGGCCCATCCCAGTGGGGCCTCTCCCTGAGGACTCCAAGAGCACCCCGAAACCCTCTGTGCGGAGGGAAGACGCACCTGCTGGAAGGGCCCCGCGTGGGTTAGGACTCCTTTCCAGGACAGAGCAGGGGCCTCTCAGGAACCCTCACCTCCAGCAGAGCAACCTCTTGCTCAGCTGCCCACAACCCTTAGGAGCCGAAACCTGAACACCGAGTAGTACCAGAGGCCAGAAGCAGGGCTGAGCTGAGAAGTCACGCGAGTGGTTGACCCCATACCCACTGGACACATGCAGGGGGAGACAGGTCAATGATGAGGGGCACAGGGTGGACAGATGGAGCAGACTGGATGGACAGGCGGAGCAGGGAGACAGGACCTGCGGCTCCTGCCCAGGCTGTGCTCCTGCCTTGAAGTCGTGACTCCCTCTAGGTCAGAGTCCTGGGCCAGGGCGTCTGGGTTCTACCAAGCAGGAGCCAGGGCCGGGTGGCACAAGAGGGAAACTGAGGCCGCTGACCCGGCCACTCATGTTCGAAGACCACCACGCTTGCCTGGGCACGGACCCATTTGATCCCAGGCACCCAGCTCAGGTTGTTACTGGCGCAGTGCTCGTAGGTGCCTGCGTCCTTGGCGGTGAGGCCCTTGATGGACACAGTGCTGGCTGCTTGCTGGTGGTAGGTGGTGTGGATGTGGACACAGTCCTACTGGGCCAGTTCCCTTCAAACCACCACTGGATCTCGGGGACAGGGCTGCCAAATGCCTCACACTGCAGCTGGATGCTGCCCCCACCACTGCTGTGACAGCGGGGGCTGTGAGGAAGCCAGCTATGGCAGAGGGTCAGGGCCATCATCCTTGGGTGACCACGCTTCCTCTGAGCTCCCAAGGAGACAGGCGCTTGCTGTGCACAGGGCAACCCAAGGGAGGGACAGTGACCCTTCCTAGGGCTGGAGTCCTCAGTGAGAACACAGACCAACAGCAACTGAGACCACGGATGGCTCCAAACAAAGCAGAAGACTGGGTGGGACAGAGATCCTGGCTGAAGGGTCCGACCTGCCAGATACTCCAGCCCCCGTCATCCTGACTGGGCGACACCTCGACTTACACTCAAGCCCTTCCCTGATCCCATGGGAAGACGCAGCCTGTGTGCAGGTCCCTCCATCCAGAGTGCCAGGCCAGCAGCAGGCCAGAGTATCCCTCTAACTCCAGAAGGGCAGATGATCCTCCAGCTCTCACAGCAGGCTCTGCTCTCCAAGCTAAACCTCCAAATCACCCCTGGAATCTCTGATGAAGAGATTCTCATCCCATGAGGTGAGGCCCAATGGCAGATGTGGCCCGGGGGATGGTGCTCAGACACCCAAGGGCAGGCAGTTTCCCCCACCTGTGTGCACATGCTCAGCTCAGAGGCAGAGGAGCAGGTTGTATGCGCACGTGCGCGCGCGCGCGCACACACACACACACACACACACACACACACACACGTGCGCGCATGCTTGGCTCTGAATAGGGAGCAAGGTACTTCCAGGGCCTGAGGCTACTGGATCTGGAGCAGGGTGGTGCCTGTCCCACCTGAGTGGCCCTTGGACCAGGCCAAGGCACTTGGCAGCCACTTCTAGTGGTCCCTTTTGCCAAGGGACCTCCTAGTAACCCACTTCCTGGGACTGGAGTCCCTCCGACTATGCCAGGTGGTACATAGGGCAGGAAGTGAGGCAGAGGCAGAAACCCCTTTTTGCCCCCAGGCTCCCACTGGTCTCACAGCCTGGCTGCCTGTATTTGGGCTCAGCGTCACTACGCCCAGGGCACCAAGGCAGCAGCCACTCTCACCTCGGCAGGTCCTGTCCCAGCTGCCCCCTGCCACCTCCACTGGCAGTGAGGGCTCAGCTGCCAGGGGCAGGCACATCCTGTCCACATTCCCTCTCCAAATGACTTCAGACATAATGGTGTGGCCCCTGCCAGCATTGGTGTTGCCTGCAAGGGTGGCATCAGAACTTCACAGGGCCAGGCTGTTGGCAAAGCAACCCCCAAGAGCTCGGGACGAGAGAAGCAGATGACCCATCGCCACCCTGGAGAAGTCCAGACTGTCCCAGCCACATGATCACAGCCCCTGCACTCCAGGAGTCACCTTCATCTAAAAACAGCCCTCCTCCTGTCCACTCACAGGCGGCCGGGGCACAGGGCTAGTTGGCTGCGGGGTCAATAAGCCTGCACTGTCTGGGTGGGTGTATGGGGGGGCTCCCTTCTGAGGGTGAAGCCTGCCCCCACCTTTGCCATGGAGGCAGGACCAAGAAAGCATTCTGGGCCGGCGTGGTGGTGCACGCCTGTAATCCCAGCACTCCGGAGGCTGAGGCAGGAGGATCGCTGGGAGTTCGAGACCAGCCTGGGCTACATAGTGAGTTCCAGGTCAGTCTCAACTACCTAGTGAGAACCTGTCTCAAAATACAAACAAACAAAGAAAGCATTCTGGAATGCAAGCCATGGGTACAGTCACCGCTCCCACCATAACTGAGTTGCAGTTATGTGGAGCCCGCCTATAGCACGTAGGTGTCCCATCCTGGATTGCCAGCTTGGGGACCCCTACCACAACAGTGGCCGCTGGAGCTTGGGTAGAGCTCTGTGGCCCAGCACGGGAGAGGCCTAGGCTCTATGCCTGGAACCTCCTTCCCCACACACATGTACCATGCATTGTGCAAACACACATGAGCACCCAGGCCCTCAGATCTTTGACTTTCTATGAGGGTAGGGCTGAAAGTGACGAAAACAAGCACAAATGCCCCAGGCCAACTGGGACACTTCCCACCCACACAGGCCTTGCCTGGCAAAGCCCAGGGAAGGGCTGGGGGATCTGCCCAGAAACTGAGCCTGCTGTTGGCAGAAACCCTGCTCAGGCCCTGCACAATCTCCTCTACCCACATAACCCAGGGTGGCTGCCGCTCCTTCCCCAGCGGGGGAGTGGCTTATCTTCTGCGTTCACCTTGCCAGGGTCTTCTATCTGTGCCACCCCAGAACCTGCTTCTTGCCAGGCCCAGGGAGGAACTTGATGGGACCATCTCAATTTTCAGGGCTAAGAAATGTTAAAGTGGGTCAGGAACAGCCCCCTCCCTGGGGCCTGCAGTCCACTCTTCAGTCTGAGGCAGCCACTGTGACCACCCCTCTCCAGCGGAGCCTGAGACCCCCCACCCTTTGTCCCCTACATCCTTGCCAAAATCAATCTTTAACCCAAAACCAAATGAGGTGTTTCAATAAAGGAAGAAGCTCCCACACACACCATCAAGCACAAGAGCAGGCCTTGCTTGCCCCTGAACACTCCTGTGACCGTCCCTGGGGTCCACTCCCAACACACAGGGCCCCACAAGCAGCACCAACTCCACCCAAGTGCCCTGAGTCTTCAAGATCAACTGTGTTTACTACTCTGGCCAGGAGGCCAAGGCGACCTTGCTGTGACCTTGAAAACTGGACTCCCCCTTGGGCCTTAGTTTCCTCATTTATAAATGGAGCAGGTGGCCAATGAAGCCATCTCACACCTTCCCCCCCATATCAGGCAAAATCGAAGTTTGAGTGGCAGGCCAAGCAAGGGAGCCCCTGAGGGTGCTGTAGAAGAACAGAGCTCAGCCAGAGGGAGCTAAATCCCACCAAGAATGATAATTCCCCCAGGTCTGGTTTGGAACACTATAGCCACTGTCCAGATGCCTGGGGTGGGGGTGTCACACGTAGGGGCAGGGAGCTCTGTCATTTTGGTACTGCCCAGGTCCTCCTCGGGTATCCTTCCCAGGCCCTGAGGGGTTCAGCCTGTGGGCGCCCAGATTGAGCAGGCCTAGGACCTGACCCAAGGCCTCCACCCCAGGGGTTTCCTCAAGCCCCCAGGATTGGGCTTCCCTTCTCCTGGCCACTGGCACGGGTGGGTGGACCACCAATACCCACAATGCCCTCATTCAGGGATACCCTTCATCCAGGCAACAGAAAATCAAGGAGATCACCTCCTATACACCCACATACCTTGGCAGGGACATCTAGGGGGTGCCTGGGCACAGCTTTGGTTGCGACTCCCCAAGCCGGTGCACACCACCCCCAAGCACTGCCACCCTCAGAACTCCCCAGGTCACCTCTCTCCTCCAGGCAGTCCAGATTGTGAGCTTCTCACCCTGGCGGCCTCGGAGGGGGAAACCTCAAGGCGGCGACTCTCCTTCACCCAGTCCCTTCCATGAAGACCCCAAGGCCCATGGCTCCACTTAGACTGCAGGATCAGCCTGGGGTTCACCAAACCACAGGATCATCACCCTCAGGCACTGACGATTTTTCAGGATCAACTTCGACGGTGTGCGGACCCCAGACATCGGCCTCCCCCCACTCCTGTGTCCCTACGGCCTCCTTAATCCTCAGACATATCGCCGTCCCCCTAGGCACTGTGGTCCCCTCAGAACCCCCAGGATAATCTCCCACCCAGTCTCCCAAGATGGGGACCCTCAAAGCGATAAACCCCTACACCCCGTCCCTCCAAGACCTCCAAGCCTCAGGGACGTCGCCATGGGCACTCCCGCGCCCCCAAGCCGCTAGGATCACCCTTCAGTTCCATTCTCCCGGACGAGGGCCACCCCGCCTCCTCTCCCACCCCAGCTCCCTCGGGCATCGGCCACCTCCACCTCCGACCTCGCGTAGACTCCCAAGGCCAGGAACCCCCTTCCAGGCTTCCTCGTCGGGCACAGTGACCTCGGTCCGCTCCTTACCCGCCGCGGTGGCGCCCTGCACGTCCAGCAGCATGAGGCCCAGCGCCAAAAGCAGCGAGGCCGCCATGTCGCCCATCTGTCCCCGCGCCAGTCACCGCGCCCGTCCCCGATGCGGGGCTATAAGAGCAGGCTGCGGGGCGCGCGCACGCAGACAGCGTCGCGGGGCGGGACACCCCAGGGCACGCTGGACCCCCACGCCCTGCGCACGCGCACTTAAGCACGTACGGTAATGCCTGCCAGCAAGCTCGACCTACGGAAGCCGGGCGGGAGGCAGCCGCGGAACGTGACCCGGCCCCGACCTTTGGCCTGGAGGCGGGGTTCGGCGTTGCTCCGAAGCAAGGGTGAGACCTGCGGGGGTAGGGTGGCTCTATGGCGGAATCTTATTTCGTTATTTCTAAATTGAGTTATGAGCTGTTGTGTTGAAGTGGTGAAAACAGTGTATTTGTTGTTGTTGTTTGTTTGATTTTTTTTGTTTTGTTTTTTTGAGACAGGCTCTCACTATGTAGTTGAGACTGACCTGGAACTCACTATGTAGCCCAAGCTGGTCTTGAACTCACAGTGATCCTCCTGCCTCAGCCTCCCAAAAGTGCTGGGATTACAGGCGTGCGCCACCACGCCCGGAAAGAAGTTCTTTTTGTAAGTATTCTGGACATAGTTGCACAAAGAAAATATTCACTATTTATGTCAATTTCAAATCTAACCAGGGCCAGGAATTTACCTCAGTGGTTCCACTGCCGGCCTTTCAAGCACAAGGTCCGGAGTTTGATCCCCAGTGCCATTAAACAAAACAAAACAAAACAAAGCAAAACAAATTTAACTGGTCACCTGTCCAGTATTTTGTTTGGCAGCCAAACCCTGAGGCCCCCATGTCATAAAACAAAGGACAAAACTTCAAAGAGGATTAAGAGAGACAACAGGTGAATACTCTTGTTACCGTCTCCATACACCTGATTATTTAAAACCTTTTTCTTGGGCTGGGAATTTAGCTCAGTGGCACCACCACACCTGTGTCAGAAATACAAGGTCCTGAGTTCGATCCCCAGTACCTGAAAAAAATTTTTTTCCTATGAAGAACAGCAAAAAAGTGAAAGACATCTATAGAGTAGGGGAGGGGTGGAAATATTTGCAAATCCTACATCTGATAAAGGACGTGAATATATAATGAACATAAATTGAGGAGCGCACACGTTTATAATCTCAGCACTCAGGAGACTGAGGCAGGAGAGTCACAAATTCCAGCCCAGTCTGAACTACATACAAAAACCCTGCCTAGCCAGGGATTTAGCTCAGTGGTTCCAGGGCCTGCCTTGCAAGCGCAAGGACCGGAGTTCAATCCCCAGTACCAAAAAAAAAAAAAAAAAA